GTCATTCAGCAACCTACCCTTCGTAAACATTGTGCTAAGATTACAAAGGGACAAGAAGCACTCATCCTTAAACCAATCCGGATGGGGAACCCAAAATTTGGGGACTATAATTTCACTCCCATCATCCATCCGGGCGGTCGTCTTAAGAAAGAGGCCTTTTTCCATTATCTGGTCCCAGGCCTCAGCTGGCACTTTCGGGAGAGCACATTTCCTACCCAACAGAGCCGGATGCTTATTGTATCTACGCAGCCGGTGGTTAAGTTGGGGGGATGGAGAAGAGACGGCATAAAACTTGCTCTTCCAATTACTCCACTTGGACGGCTTGTCCAAGGTCATCATATATTCCGGGAGCGTTGTTAAGGTATACAACGCATTCCACCCACCCGGTGCTCTGCTGAGATAATGCATGTGCGCAAAAGCTTCCCAGCTTGGCCTAACTTCTTGCAACTCGCAGGCGGCAATGTATCCCAAAATGTTGACCCATGAGTTAGGGGTCAACTGCCATACGCCCAAGTCATACCCCCTTAGTATGGCTTTAACGCAGTGATGAAGGGGGAACCGGAGGCCGGCTGTGAATGTCGCCTCATAATAGCCGAAGTAGTAGTCGGCGTTGTCCACGTCGTCAGTCCAAACGACGCTTGCCTCTACAGGCGGTACAACCACTTCCCATTCCTCCCCAACCGGCTTCTTTTTTAAGAAAGCAGGAAGTGTGGCGTTTAAAGTGACCACATCCCTGGCGGACATAGTCATGTCGGTTGGGTCCCCCTTAGTCGGCCACTTATAGGCTTCCTCATCAATAGGGGCAGCCGCTTCAGGAGACTCTTCATCAGAGCCGGACTCTTCGTCATCTGATCCTTCGCCGGATTCCTCATCATTAGAACCAGAGCTATCCAAAATGCTATCACCCGGTGTGCTAGGTGCACCCGGGGAGTCTTGCGGAGTATCCTCATTTGGAACCCTCTCAGACGGTTCCTCTGTCTGCTCTTCATTCAAAGGGTCAGCCGGATCAACGGCTGCATTATCGGACTTGTAATCAGGATCTACTGCCGTCCATCTAGTCCGGGCCATTCTGTCCTGCACATGAACAGAAGCGGTCAGATTCGAAGTAGGTGAAGGTTGTCCCAAGCACCCCCAGACGGCAGTCCCAGTCCTAGACTCAGCCGTCCCTGGTGACCGGCTGACCACTGTCGTAGGCTGTGCCGTGTTTATGTTGGTGGAGTCCATATCCTAACTCTATATGCACAATCGGAAAATAAAGAGAAATGAAGAGTATAGGGTACAGACGGTACCTTTGAGGTATGAAGCTTGATATATGGAAGTTGGCTTGAAGTCACCTCAGGCGGAGAACTCCACAAATGTGTTTGAGCTGAAAAAGACAAAAAGTGCAAATTAGCCGGTCTGTCATAAGCTCATTCAAAAGCACCACAGACGGCATTTTACCGCCTGTGGTTGTTTAGAAGACTAGCTAGATGAATTGTAAGGTTCACTCCATGATACCCCAGACGGTATTCAGTGAGCTGGGTCAGAAGTACCCCAGACGGTGTAAGACCGGATGGGGGGTTATGACAAGCATTTGTAAAAACTAGCTAGATGAATTGTAAGGTTCACTCCATGATACCCTAGCCGGTATTCAGTGAGCTGGGTCAGAAGTACCCCAGACGGTGTAAGATCGAATGGGGGGTTATGACAAGCATTTGTAAAAACTAGCTAGATGAATTGTAAGGTTCACTCCATGATACCCCAGACGGTATCAAGGGAGTTGGGTCAGAAATACCCTAGACGGTGTTAGACCGGATGGGGGCTATGAGAAACACAAAAAAAAGAGCCTGTTCAAACACAACAACCGGTATAGATGCCGGCTGTAGGTGTAGCAAAGACTATTAAGGTCATTCAACGATATCCCAAACGGTGAAATACCGGATAAGGGTATATTAGGACCTGTTTCAAAGAATCATATTCAAGCAGGACCCAGACGATGAATCACCGGATGGGGGTGCATTGAATACAATTAGAAAATAAATTTGAAACTAAAAGGTCATGAAAAGTCAAGGATGATGACCCAAACGGTATTAAACCGGTTGGGGGTTTGAAATCATTTATTGGCAAACTCAGAAGTACCCCAGGCGGTGTTTCACCGGATGGGGGTGCTTTGAATGCCTGGTTATTTAAAGGATAAGAAGTCTATTTGGGAATGGGTCAGAGACCCCCCAGGCGGCCTTCAAACTGGATATATATATATTTTGATTGAAAGGTATCCCAACCGGAATTTACCGGTTGAGTCGGCTTTCAGAAACAGCAAATGAACAGGGCCCCCGGGCGGTGTTACACCGGATGGGGGTGTTTTGAATGCGTGATGTTTTAAGGTTGAAGACCCCTCAGACGGAGCTATGCCGGCTGAGGGAGAGAATTCAGTACTGGGATATGGGTTAAAGACCCCCCAGGCGGCATGCAACCCGGATGGAAAAATCAGTCAAAAACCCCAAAATCAGAAGTTAAAAGTAAAGAGAAAGGGACAGCCGGTACCTTGCTGGAATTAAGGAAAGTACGCTCAACCGGAAGCCGGATGTCAAGTTTCTGGAAAGCCGGATGCAAGAAAATCTTGAAAGTAGCAGCCGGTATTAGAGTTCTCTCTCAGAAATTTTTTGAAAAATATGTAAAGTATGGAGGAGAGAGAGAGTGCCTCTTATTTATAGGAGAGGAGCAGAAGGCAAAACGGTACCTTCTGCCCTAAAAACTTGAAATTTGAAAAAGGGAGGGAAGAAGACGAACCGTCTCCTCCCATGCGTCTGACACTTGTCACAGGCGACACGTGTACATGCCACGTCACACCTGTGAGGGGCAGATGTTTAGGGTAAAAATACCCCTAAGACACGTGGCCCTATAAAGGCTTGCCACGTGTCAAGCTTGCAACAGTCAGCAAGGGCCCAATCCCTTTGCGACACGTGTCATTGTACCCTAATTGAGGTACAGCTCTCCCCTACTATAAATAGTAAGGGCAGACCTCATTGATGGGGATCGAGAATATTCTCCAACAACCAACCAAACACAAAACCCATTGCAAAACACTCTCCAATCGAGAAGCATTTATTGTTCTTATTTACTCTTCAGAAAGGTTCTAACTTAATCTTCGGAGGCGGAACTCCCACCCCCCAGCCGGAGTCTCCGTTATTTGTGCAGGTACAGGCGAAGGAAGGAGCATACTAGGAAATTGTAACTCTCTCGTAGGACACATAAAAAACCCCCAAACAACTAGGGTGTGCTATTGTGCCTTGAACTCGAGGATTTTTCGAATGCCATGTCATTTCCTCCGAAATGTTCTTGGTTGCAAAGAGCCTTTGCAACCCGGGTGTGATCGGGAAATAAAACAGAACATTCAAAGGCACTAGGCTACCTTTAGTAGTCTGCTTGTGCCACACACCCTACATGTAGACAGTTGAGCATCATCCTTCCAAAACAACACACATCATTTCGGGCATGCATGAATCCTTTCATGAGGCAGTTCCAACCCCTTCATAATCTTCTTCACCTCGTAGAATGTGTCGGCCATATGGTTGTTGTTAGGAATCGCTTCACTGAGCAAAGAAGCAAACCCATCAACACATTTGTGGGGCAAATTATACTCGCACTTTAGACTAGTAATTCTAGCAGCCATCTCTAACATAGACATTGAACTCCCTTCGTATAATGGTCTTTCAGAAGCCTTCAACAAATCCAGAAAATGCTTAGCTTGTGCATTAGGCTCCTCCTCTGATGAAACACTAGCCTGCTCGGAATGCCCTTGATCTTCAGTATGACCAAAAGCATTGAAAACCATTTCACGATAGTCATTGGAGCGCCGTTCAGGAACTCCTGGAAACCCTTCCCCATGACACATCCACTCATAGTAATTGGGTAAAAAAACCCTTGCGATACAGGTGAATTTTAACCGTTTTTGCATCCCAAAGCCGTTTGTTCTTACATTTAAAACATGGACACCTAATTTCATTCAGGTTACTACTCTCGGGATGATCTTTGATGTACTCAATGAATTCATCAACCCCTTTCACGAACTCTGGATGAATACTTTGCCCAACCTTCCTTTCATACATCCAACTACGTTCTGTTCGTTTCATGATCACAACTTCTACACAACTCACACATATGTATAATCACATTAGTCACAAAGCGTATTTCCTATTGATTATCCATCACAGTGTTATGGAAATGAAAATGAGGTTTGAAATGCTTCCAAAGGGTCCTTATCACTCCAACCTAACCATCTTTGTACGTTTAATCTCACAAGTGAATGTAAGCAGGTTTTCAATTCTATGGAAAATCCGCCAGCATTTCCTACAGTTCTCCAAGTACACGATGTAGGCGAATAAACACACCTACACATGTACTCAGAGAACATTGTAGAGAAATGAGAAGGCAGGATATTCCCTAGAATCAATAACAAGTCATACATTCACCACCTAAGTGAGAATAAGCGTACAAGAACAGTCCCAACCGGGGACTATTCAAGACATACTCTTAATATGTATGCCTTGAACGAGTATCTAGGCATATGATTATGCAAATGATTCATTTACAAAATATATAAAGTAAAGGAGACATGCATTATACTAAACAAATATATCATAATTAAACTAAACTAAACAAATAAATAAATTAAACAATTAGTAGATATTATATTAAACATTATATCAAACAAAAATATTAAACTAAATAAACTAACATACACTATATTAAACTAAAGTAAACTAACATACATTATTTTATTAAACTAAATCAAATTAAACTAACATATCATAATACAACAATTAAAAACTAAACTAAACTAACGTATCATAATACAACACATTCATTTCAAATATTTCAACATATTTAAACATAAATACAACAACTTGTATACACTACACTAAAAACAATCACAAACTAACATATATCTAAATACAATTAGTCACTAATATGTCAAGTATAAACTAAACTAATAATTTTAGGGGTTATATTGGGCTAACCTGTAGATCTGCACTTGTTATTCACAATTAAACCAAGTAAATATGCAAATCCTACAAATAATTAAGATTAAAAACTTAATTAGGTTTTATGCTGTCAGTTTTTATTTAAAAAAAAAAAAAAAAAAAAAAAAAAGGGAAAAGACTTACCGGGGCTGCAGAACGGCGGGAGGCTGGTGGTGGTTCCGGTCGCAGAACGGCTGGTGGTGGTTCTGGTCGCATGCTTGAGGTCAGTTTTTAACCCAATAAAAAAAGGGGGGCAAAGCTACTTACCGAGCGGCGGCCTTGGAGTCACAAGGGGACGGTGGTCAACGACCAGTGGTTGTGGTAAAAGACTGGTGGTGGTTGTTGACATGGTGGTGATAGTTAGGGTTTCCCAAAAAATTTAAATTAAAAAAAAAATTAACTACACTTACCAATCGGCTTTTCACGGCGGCGTAGTTGCAGCGGATCGACGGTGGTCGCCACTTCCTCTTTCTCTTTCTGTTTCTCCCTTTCTCGCTGTTCCTTTTTTTCTCTCTTCCTTTTTCTCTCTCTTCCTCTTTCTCTTTTTGTTTCTAAATTTTTTTCACGAAAAAGAATCAGAAAGTTGAACTGGGGTTTTGTTGTTTTATTGTTTCCGACATAATTAATTTATGTCGAAAATTAATTTTTCCGTCGGAAGAATTAATTTCCCACATAAATTAATTCCTGTTTTTATTTAATTATTTCAGACGGAATTAATTTTCCTCGGAAAATTCAAAATTTCCGACGGAAAAGTAGGTCCGTCAGAACGTTTCCGTCGAAAATCTGCCTATTTCTAGTAGTGTCATTTATCAAATGAGCAAAAAAATTCAATGCTCCTTTGTCAAATGAGCAAATGATTCTTGCTCATTTTGTCAAATAAATGCTCATTTGTGAGTGTGTTTGAATGTTTTAAATACGTTAGCCTACTAGCTCAAGGGTAGAGCATTGTACAAATGCACAAAAGATGTCGGTTCAAATCCCACGTAGGTTTATTTATGTAATGTGGAGACACAAGTTTATATGAGAGTTTAATTGTAACAAAGTTTATATAGTTATAAATCATTTCAAACCATTTTTTTGTTCATATAATTTAGTACGAATTTGATTTTTTTTTTTTAATTAATTTTGTTTATAGAGATAACCTATGTAGGAATTAAACCTACATCCTCTATGCATTTGCATAATGCTCTACCATTTGAACTAATAGGTTTATCATGTGTTTTAAATCATTTTCTATGTTATAAATTTTTAATCAGCTCATTTGATAAATCAACAAAGAATTGTTTGCTCATTTGATAAAATGAACAAATAATTGTTGCTCATTTGATAAATGAGCAAAGATTTGTTTGCTCGTCTGATAAATGAGCAAAAATTTGTTTGCTCCACCTCTGACAATAACGATCTCCAAACAGAAAATATATGAGAAAAAGGAAGTATTGCTCCTTTTTTCTTTCTTTATCTTATTACCTGACAATAATCTTTTGATTGGAGACTAATAGAGTTTGCTATTCTGGCAGATAAAAGAGGAGAGCATAATGAACAATTCTACCAATAGAAGCATTTTTATATAATATGTTCTTTTATATACCACATTATATACCCTTTAAAAGACCCCAATCTATGAGTCGTAGCTTTCGTTGTTCATGATCAATCATGACATTATGGGGCTTCACATCACGGTGCATAATGCCTTGTGAGTGACAATAATCTAGAGCCTGCCCGTGAAAAACAAGAACAGATGAAAACCAGGAGAAAGAAGAATTAAAGAAAAGTTTTTATCATTCACTTTGGACTTGTATAAAACCAAAAAACACAGTGCTAACTCAAGCTAAAAACGCTTTAATTCATAGTATTTTAGCATTTTCAAGAAAAAGCCTCATCGGTCATATTGCATCCAATATGATCAATGCAACAAAAGATACTATCTAAAATAGCAAACATGAGACAAAAAAGGTGGTAAATTTGGCAAAATAAAATTATAAATGTCTAAGAAGAAAATAATGGTGAATCTCAAACACGCATTATCTACATTTTTAATATTAGCCCATCCAAAGAGGTTATAAACAAGAACTTTCATTCAAGCTCCCTATTTTTAAAGGTAAAGATGGTTACATTGAAGAAAATGGGATATTATCACCAAAACAGCCACATAAAAAGACATTGAACCCGCTCATAATACAAGTTATACAACACTCTAATTTCTTACCAAAACAACAAAATTTCCATACCCAACAAAAGTTGTACTATCTACAATAACTTAACATTTAACTCTACACTGAATTGACTAACAAGCATTGCTCCACAATAAAAGTTGTATCTACAGCAAGAAGAAGGGCTAGATCCACTTAACAACCTAGGAATATCCATAGCTCTGCATGCAACTAAATCTACCTTCCCACAACTTACCAATAAATTTTAAAAAAATGAAACAAAAGGTGGTGACAAAACAGGTTTATTAAAGGTCTGGATTTATTTGGTTCAAAAATCATGGTGCATACAAATAAGCGTTGGTTCACTTTCAAGATAGGTTGAATTCTAAGCTCACTGTACAATTCATTTAGAATTTTTCAAATTGCCACCAACATCAATCATCGGAGATCTCACTTATTAATTTGTAAAAAAAATATACGACTATTGGTCTAGTCAGGTCTACCTTATGCGTTGCATCATATAAGGTGAAGTCATTCAGAATGTGGCCAAGAAAGGAAGGTCTTACCAACTTAGCTCTAAATATTAAAGAATATTCTTTTGTCAAAATCTAATCAGGAATCAGATTTTCCAAGCTAAAGTTTATGTCAAGACAATATCAGAGTTAAAATTGGATCTACTAAAACATTGAATACTAGATGTATACCACACTCGGTGACAAAAAAAAAATCAAAAATTGATAGCATCATGCATGAGTTTGGAAGAGCTAGCAGGCACAAAAACAAGAGGCCTTGTCACACATCACAATTCTTCTACCACCACAATAACAGTAATATTATTTAGCTGACAAAAACAATATGCCGGAATAAACTTGCTTCACCATACTAAAAAGAATCAAGGTAATAATCTCAAAAGCAAAAAGTCAATATCTCAAATAGAGATGCTGGCTACCATGACAGGATACAAATTGCAAGGAACGAAAGACATAAGCATCCTTCAAGAATACCCATTCCCTATTCTATAAGGGATGCAAGCTTCTCATAACTTCTTCAGAAAGGCAGTATTTTTCTACAATCATCTTTCCAAATAATTTGAGGGCACAGCATCCACTTCAATTGGCCTCACTTGTATAGATAATGAATGAAGGTATCCATACAAGCCCCTATCTAAAAATCAAACAGAAATGTATAAATCTTTTCTCCCTTTAACAAGAAGCTCTACAAGGCTAATAGTGATATCAGGAAACGTGAAGCCAACATCCCTCAAACTGTTCAACATCATACACATTAGCTTATCTGGAATTTCATTCTACTGAAGACAACTTGGGAAATGTCTCTAAACTATAATTTTTATTGTATAATTCTAGTCCAACATATCGAAACAAAATAGCAACTTACATAACAGCATAAGACTTCACACAGTTAATTTAACTATATGCCTCGACACTCTATCGCTATAAAAGGTGGAAAAGGATCCTCTTGCAAGATATCGTCCCAACTGTTCTTTCTATTTTCGAGATCCTTTAGTAGAAGAAAATCAGAATTATTTGAGAACAAGCCCGTCGGATGCATTATCCATCCAGATAATCAAGAATTTCTTTTCACAGGCAACAATCAATAATACCCACATTATCCATCCAGAACCAGCAGTATGTGCGATTAATTATTCAAGAAACACTCACTAATCAAGAAAACGTACTCCAGCATACATTATTTATCATACAATTCAACTATCAACAACAAAAATAATCACACCAACTAAATTAATCACAACAAAATTATTCAATAACACCGCACAAAAAAAGGGTAAGTGACACAAAAAAAAAAATCAGACAACAATAATCTAAGAGTAGCACTGAAATTACCTAATATCGCTGAAATCGAATGTTAGAACATCAAATTAAAAAATTTACTAAATTAAATTAAGATCACTCAATTTGAAAATTTTAACGAAAATCTGAAAATAAAGAGCATGAAATCTGAAAATTACTAGCCAAAATTAAGAACATCACTTACTTGTTTATTGTTCAATGAAGCTTGTTGATTCTTGTTGTTGCTGAAATCTGACATAAATTGAACGGATTTGTGCTCAAAATCCTTGAATCTCATTGAAATTGTGATTGGAGCTCATAAGTTCTTCTGCCTAAGTTCTTCTCATGAGAAGTAAGTAGTTTTCTATAAAGGGGAAAAAGTTTGGTTTTATTACTATTTTGCCATTATAGAGGCACGTTTGATGTGAGTCGTTGATGACGTTTGATCCTAAGTCTTAGATTTGTTCTCATATATTAGTAGTGTTCTCACATAAGGACCTGTTCTCACCGGATCCTGACGCTAAAATCCTGTTCTTTCAAATATATATATATATATATATATTTGAAAGAACAGGATTGGGAAGAGCAAATCCCCTTCATTCCTGCATGGATCTCCTTCTTCGTCTTTCGTATTCGTAGTAAGGGCATCGGATGTAGTTCATGCTTTCCCGGCTTTCCAGTCTCTTTACTCTTTGCTAGCCTTCTAATCGCATCAGCCTTTACAGCAGCCTAATTCTTCTCCCCTTAAACAAGTACTGTATTGATTTTCATTTCTTTCTCAGTCTTGGATGTCTTGCTTTCTATGAGTCTTTCATTCCTTCCTTGGATGTAGTTGGTGTAATCTAAAAGCCCCAGGAGGAAACAATGCCTATGTCCGGAAGTGGCCCATTGTGCTTGTCGGTTCGGTCGTGCTTCTAGAAAGTTAAGCACTTGGTTGACATACGTAAAGCTTTGTAGCCCTCCCTGCAGTTTCCAGTTTAGTTTGTCTACTTCCCTTCCAAACGACGATGAGGCTAAGTGAACAAAGTCTAACCTGAAGAGGAGGATTGATTCCACGATAACTTTATTACCAATGTATCGAATTGTACTAATTTGCCGTTACTTACAGGTAATGAAGGAAATGGGGCCTCCCCTTAAAATAATTAATGATTTCTTGATCCAGAATCTTATTCTTCCTATTGAGGATAGTAAATATAGAAGAATCCAAGGGAAAGAAAAGATGGATTTTAGTGAAGGTAAATTATAATGATGTCTTCACTGAAGAGAATATCAATATTGCTATAAATAAGAGTATCCCGGATCACATCAAAAAAGATAAGAAGAAGCGTGAAGCATGGGAAAATAAGCGGGATAAACTAACTGAGTGTTATAAGGGATATAGTAAGAGTGTTACTGGTGGGAGTAACACATGGGAAGGCTATTTAAAAATGTAGGGAAAGTAAAAAGGCCAACTCAAAGGTCTAAATTGTGTTCACTCATTTAGGTATGATATGAGATTTGATAGCGATTTCTCTAGTAAAGCAATCTCATGTAGGTTTTATTCAACTAGAAGAGGAGAGAATGTTGCTTCTCATTTATTGTCCAAATACTTAGGATGTATTGAGAATACTTTTGAGAGGAACCCACACGGGGGGTTAATCCTAGCAAGTTATAGCTACTGTGAGCCTTATCCTCTTGTCAACCACACTGATCTCCTGTGTCTTACAGCGATGGATCTATTGATCCAGTATGCTTACCCAGCCATAGCGGGCTACTCTAAATTCAATGTTTTATTTACTATGAAGAGAAGCTATGGGGTGGATATAACATTTACGATTGTAATGCTATTCCCTTGACTTTGGAAGACGGGAACCTTCTTCCTAAGAATGAGATCGACGCTCATTTAGAGCGGTCAATATCTAAGTATATTTATTTATATGAAGGAGATTCAGTTCATAAAATGACTATTCGAGTCTGCACTGAAGCTAAAAAGAGTGAAATTCCTATTTTCCCCAAGATTATAAAAAACCAAGCATTTAGAATTCCTTGAAACATTTGATTCCACCAAATCAATTGATCCTGTCAGTATATATTAAAAAGATCAGACACCGAAACAAAAAGTATCCAACCTATATCCCATTTGGGCAATCCAAAAGTCAAAATAGGAAACCCTTCCTGGTAGCTGATACGGAGACAATTTCATTAGATAAAGATCGAGAAAGGTGCAAGAGTCCACAGTACCTTAAGGATCCTATAAGAAGGTAAGTTCCGATTTTCATTTAGCTTCCATTTCGTGAGTCTCACAAGAGAGCCCGCATGCCAAAAAAGACATAGTGCCTACTACGCCCCTAAATAAAGGATAAAGAAATTGGACACGAGCGAGATTTAGACTGACTTTTGGCCCAATGCTCGTGGGCGATGAAGACTGACGACCCCTTCTGCCTAACTTTCTCTTTGCAAGAATTAGCTCTTCGAGAATGCGCTGCAAGCCTAGGATTCGTATCATCTAGCGTATAATCCCAATTGGCTGAATTGGCTCTGGATTCTCTTAGGTTAGAAAAAGAATTCCCATTCCCGGTCCAATCAAAGTACTACTGACTTTTAAGCAGATTTAATAGCTGCAGTTTCATGAAATGAAAAGAGACCTTCTAAGGAAGGGAAGAAAGAACGACATGCATAAATGGTTATATATATAAGTAGGATCAATCCCCCTCTTAAGGTTAGATTTTGTTCGCTTAGCCTCATCGTCGTTTGGAAGGGAAGTAGACAAACTAAACTGGAAACCGCAGGGAGGGCTGCGAAGCTTTACGTATGTCAACGAAGTGACTAACTTTCTAGAAGCACAACCGAACCCGCAAGCACGATGGACCACTTCTGGACATAGGCATTGTTCCCTCCTGGGGCTTTTAGATTACACAAACTTCATCCGAGGAAGGAATGAAAGACTCACAGAAAGCAAGACATCCAAGACTGAGAAAGAAATGAAAATCAATACAGTACTTGTTTAAGGGGAGAAGAATTAGGCTGTTGTAAAGGCTGATGCAATTAGAAGGCTAGCAAAGAGCAAAGAGACTGGAAAGCCGGGAAAGCATGAACTACATTCGATGCCCTTACTACGAATACGAAAGACGGAGAAGGAGATCCATGCGGAAATGAAGGGGATTTGCTCTTCCCGATCCTGGTTAATTTCTGTTATTTATGCTAACATTAGACCCGACGCGAGGCTCGATGTAATTGAGCTCTAAATAGAAAGTATGAAAGAAAAAAGCGAATCATGAAGTTTGCTTCACAGTTGTGCTTGAAGTTTGGTTCACAGTTGTGACTAAAAGGAATAAGACTCATAAAGGAATTGGCTTAAACCTCGATCTTTACTTTTACAAAACGCCCCAAGTAACCATGAATTGGGACTCCTTTCTAAATTCAAGTATAGGCGTCAGCGATTAATCTGTTTCTTGACTTTTTACAAGCAAGGAAAAGAGAGAAACTAGTTCAATTTGAGTATTTATCGGGAGTAGTTGCATTGCTAGTAGGTAGAAAATCAGTAGTGCGTTAGCTTATCTGTTCATTTTTTTTAAAAAAAAAAACCCTGTTTGTGCTCCTTTATGCCGCTCTCGCTAGTAGGGAATCTAGTTCAGCAAGGGCTTTTTTTTATAGAGGTTGAGTAATGTTGAGCGAGATAGCTTGACTCTAAGTCATTTCCTAAACGAAGGGTATACCAATCAACAACATGGGAAAGGTCAAAGACCAATTGACGTACCTGGATGAACCATTTGAACTAGTCAATTTCGAACGAGAAGCCATCCTCGTGGGTGACTGGCCATATGAGGGTCCAAAGCCTATTTTTTATTTTAGAAAAGTGGCATTCAAAGGTCCACATCCGCTTTCTCTGTATGTGTTTTGTGCCCTCTTTCTTCTGTCATGTCTTTTATAATGTATTATATGTGTTTTAATCTGTTTTGTGCTCTCTTTCTTCTTTCATGTCTTTTATAATGTATTATATGTGTTTTAAAAAGCCGGCTATGATTAAGACTTCTTTTTTCCGCTTCCTTGATACACTTGCTTTGTTTTGAAGACTGCACCGTCGCTGACGTATGTATTGAACCTTTGTTCTTCCACTCCGTACAATGTGCAGGATAGAGACTTATTTTGCCTGAACTCTTTCTCTAGACTAGTATAAAATCTTCTTTCCTCTCTCCGGATCTCCAGAACCCTTGTGAGGATTAGGGATGGCAATTATAAATGGATATCTGTAAACCCGATCCACCCGATATAAATAAATGGACGAAAATCCGCATTAAACGGATGAAGGGCGGGTGACAGATGTAACGGGTGACAGATCGGGTCGGATTCGGGTGGGGCTCCGTTCCATCCATCACCCGATCCGTCATCCGTATATCACCCGATCCGTCATCCATCCGATATAAATTAGTTTTTTCAAAAAAAATTTAACCTTATATACTCTACTAATACTTAAATATTTTTCTAAAAATTATTAAATATGATGTTATTATTTTTTTTTTTTACAAGGGTAACATCGATAATTTTGATGTATTCGTTAAAAATACAGTCATCACTCGTAATATTAACCACCAATAACTTTTATGTATTTACAAAAAAATAAAATTATAATATCACCCGTTAAGCATCCGGTCCACCCATTTCACCCACGGATGACGGATGGATCGAATGCGGGTGATGGGTTTTGCGGGTGGCAGGTGGAGCGGATGGACTAAGCGGGTGGAGCTCCATCCGACCCGAATCCGATCTGTTGCCATTCCTAGTGGGGAGCCTCAATCTCTTTGGAGAAGAAGGCTCCAACAAGAGTTATTGGTTCTCTTTCTATTCCTAAATTTAGACCAGATTTGACTGCGGACTAATTATCTTTTTTTTTTTTTTTTTTTTAAGGGGTTAATTAAATCTCAAAAACAATTAATCTCTTCCTTGCTTGTAAAAAGTCAAAAAACAGATTAATTGTTTAAATATATATTCTCTAAAGGTTATCTAATTGTTTAAACAATTAGGGTCTTTTTTTCTTTTTCTTTTTTTTTTTTTTTTTTTGTGAAAATAAAAAATGAAGACACTAGATTTGACCTAAAATCGGGTAAACCCGACCCAAAAAAGAAAAGAAATAGGCTATTTAAAATGAGAGTCGCCTCTCTAAAACCCTCACAAGACCCTAATTTCAGTTTCATCGTCCTCATTCTGCTTCTCGCCATTTTCTCTCTCCTCTCCTCTAGGGCAAGCCTCCTTCTCCTCCTCTTCAATTTTCTTACTTTCTTTCATTAATCAATTGCTATTTACTAATTTTTTTCTGGGTAATTGTTGATTTTTGGTATAGTGAAAAAAGGGCGAAAATTTGAGGGCAGAAAAATGTTGGTGTTGTTCGAAACTCCTGCGGGCTTTGCCCTATTCAAAGTTATTGATGAAGGAAAGCTTTCTCAAGTTGAGGTATGAAATATTTCCTTCTTTTTTTTTTTTTTTCTGGGTAATTTTGTTTCTTTATGTTTGTTGATTTTGTAAGTATTAATGTGCTTTTTGTTTTTGCAGGATTTGTGGAAAGAGTTTACAACTGCTGATTCTGCTAGAAAGGTTTATACTTCTGCTTTTAATTTCTTATTTATAATGTTTATTGATTGTATGATTTTGATAATTGATTAATACTTTGGAATAGTAATTATAAGGGTTTTTGTTTAAGTGTGGAAATGGGTTATGAAATTTGTTGATGTTTATAGAAGTATGATGCATACTCTTATGTTAAGAGTGGTATTGTTGCATAGAAGTATGATGGATGTAGAAGTGTTATTGAAGTTGGTAACGTTGAAAATCGTATGTTGTCGTTAGAAAGTTGTGTTGGTTTATGTTTAGGTTTCTCGAGGTTTTGTTTGTATTGTGGATGGCGAAAATTCGAGGTTTAGGTTTGAAATAGAGGTTTTAGGGTTATTATTTTGTTTGTAAATGGGGGCAATTGGTTTAATGGTATATGTTCGGGCAAGGCGATTTGAAATTGGGTTTTAGGATTTTTGTGAAGTTTCTATAAGTAAAGTGCATTTGATTTTTGTTGAAGGTGGTATTTGGTGATGGTGGATATGTAGAAATTGAATGTCCTAATTATGAAGTTAGACATTCTTGTAAGTTTCTTTTGGGTTAGGTATATCAGAAATTTTAAGGCTTGAATGTTGTTTAAGGCAGATTTATTAAGATGAATAAGAATTTTTAAGCTCTCAGTGCGGTGAGGAGGGTGGATGGATTAGTTGGTTCTAGGGTCAAGCAAGTTGGTTTGTTAGTTTGAGTCAATGAAATTGAGATGAATTTGTTGATTCTTATATTGACAGTTTGAACACTGCTTGAAAATGGACTGTATTAAATTCCAGGTTGTCATGGAAAACTGCTTTGACCTTACCTTCGGTAGGAAAAAAATGTATAATTGGATTACATTATGTTTTTAAATATCTAGTTAATGATGTGGAGGGTATTATTGAACGAACAAACACTTGTCCATGAGAGAGATTATTTTGTAGATGTGCTTCAAGTCCATCATAGAGATAGAGTTAGGGTGAGGACTGTTTCAAGTTAACTTGTGTTTATTTCAAGGAAGAAGGCTTACAGAAATATACTTGATCTGTTTCTCTCAATAAGTCAATAGATTGAACATCAGTAGAATGATTCATCCATAGCTCTCAATACTTTCTATACCAATTATTGAGTTTGGTAGTTAACTAATAATGCTACTGTTTTTAATTTGTTAACTGGTGTGCTTGACCTTTTACTATTCTTCAGGTAGTGAAGCTGAAAGCTTTTGACAAGTTTGAAAATACATCAGAAGCTTTAGCAGCTACTACTTTATTGATTGACGGCAAACCTAGCAAGGGATTGAGAAAATTTTTGAAAGCACACTGCACAGGTAGCACATTAGGTGTTGCTGATTCTAAACTTGGAAATGCAATCAAGGAGAAATTGGTTAGTGTAGATTTCAATTTGATGTCCTTCACTCTGTTATGCTTGTGTTTTCACCTATCTAATATAAAGTTGGGTATGGCCTTGTATTGCAGCAAATTGAGTGCGTTCACAATAATTCAGTGATGGAGCTAATGAGAGGGGTAAGAAGTCAGCTGACTGAACTCATCTCAGGTCTTGGAGCTCAAGATTTGGCTCCAATGAGCTTGGGTTTATCTCACAGCTTATCTAGATACAAGTTAAAGTTCAGTCCTGATAAGGTCAGTTAAAATCCATAAATCACTGTTGGGGGCTGCTAACTTTGGTCAATAACTTCTTGAAATTAGCCTACATAGTAAATGATATTGGACTTGCTTGAGTGAAAGATGTTCAATATCTGCCTTCTATATATTATATCACCTATCTTAACCTGCACCTGATGTATATGCAGGTAGACACTATGATCATTCAAGCCATCGGTTTGTTGGATGATCTTGACAAAGAGCTTAATACATATGCTATGAGGGTACGAGAATGGTATGGCTGGCATTTTCCTGAGCTTGCAAAGATTGTGCAAGACAATATACTATATGCCAAGACTGTGAAGTTCATGATGAATCGTGTTAACGCTGCGAAGCTGGACTTCTCTGAGGTAAACACCACTCCAATGAACTTTATAATCATCATTATGTATGTTGTGTTGCATCCCATTTGTGTTTGAATGGTGCATATGCCTCTGGGGACTTTATGGACTGAATTTAAGGGTTAAGGACTGGTTATCTGCTTTCTGACTTGCATCAAGTAGTTATGTAGCTGTGTTATCAACATTGGTAACATATGTCATTTCATGTATATCTCTTGGTTTGGACTTTTGAGAGTTGGTGAAGTCGTTAGGAAATGGTCATGAAATAAAATCTTGACATTCCTATGATCGAGTAGGTAACAATGTGGAATTTAACCTTCCTTTCTTTTGTTACAGATCTTGGATGAGGAGGTTGAGACAGCGCTCAAAGAGGCTGCCATGATTTCCATGGGAACTGAAGTCAGCGACCTTGATTTGATAAATATCAGTGAACTCTGTGACCAAGTTTTGTCTCTAGCTGAATACAGAGCTCAATTATATGATTATTTGAAAAGCAGAATGAACACAATCGCTCCAAATTTGACTGCTCTTGTTGGTGAGCTCGTTGGTGCCCGTCTTATTGCCCATGGTGGAAGCTTGATAAATCTTGCAAAGCAGCCTGGGAGCACAGTACAAATTCTTGGGGCAGAAAAGGCTCTTTTCAGAGCTTTGAAAACAAAACATGCAACCCCTAAATATGGGCTTATCTATCATGCTTCCTTGATTGGGCAGGCTGCTCCTAAACACAAGGGTAAAATATCTCGTTCTCTTGCAGCAAAAACTGCATTGGCTATTCGTTATGATGCTCTTGGAGATAACCCTGACAACACTATGGGTCTTGAAAATCGAGCCAAGGTAACAACTTCATAATCAAATTTCTGCCCACTTTTTTCCTCCATTTTATTTTTAATTCGAAGTATGAAAAATCTCTGGACATGTTCTCATATACCCTGCTTCATTTCTGAAACAGCTTGAAGCCCGTCTAAGAAATCTTGAAGGTAAAGAATTGGGCAAATCTGCGGGATCCGCCAAGGGAAAACCACAAATAGAAGTTTATGACAAAGATCGTAAGAAGGGAGCAGGAGCACTAATTACCCCTGCAAAGGTATTTTGCTTACCATTTCACTCCCTGCTTCTCTTGCAAGTCTTGCCTTGCTAGTCTTTTTATTTGGCTTTGTTTTGACACTGCATTCTATATTTCTATCTTTTGCAGACATATAATCCTGCAGCTGATGCTATCCTTGGTAAGAAGGATGATAATTTGATGGTAATTGAAAAGGATGTCCATGTTGTTGAGGAAACAAAGAAGGCAAAGAAAGAAAAGAAGAAAAAGAAGGATGCCGTTTTGGAAGACAGTGTTGCTAATGGTGAAGATGAAAATGTGGAACCTGAAGTTGAAATAAAATCCAAGAAAGAGAAGAAGAAAAAGAAGCAGCAGGTAGAGAATGGAGACAAAGAAGCAGATGATGAAGAGACGACGAAAAAGGAAAAGAAGAAGAAGAAGAAGCAGGCGGAGGATGAGGAAGCTGTTGAGGCAGGAGAGAAGGATAAGAAAAAGAAGAGAAAGCATGCTGATGCTAGTGAGGAAGCTGAACCTGTGAGCGAGAAGAAAGAAAAGAAAAAGAAGAAGAAGAAGAGCAGTGAGGATTGATTGAGGTATTTGTAGTAATTCGGGCAAATCAAACAATTTTGGCCATCTTTGACAATGGATAATATTTTTCGTTTCTGTATAATTTGCTCTTTGCTGGGGTTTTGTTATAGGAGTATTTCTTGTTAGAGTTAGTCTAGTAATCTTATGCCTCATGTATGTGACTGAATGTTTGTTCAAGGATTATAGCTGCAAATCTTGTTCAAGATATTTTATCTTTGATTTCAGCCATTGTGATGAATTACATGGCTGAGTACTGGCTGACTTGAAAAAAGTTATTTATTTATTGGTTCTGATGTTTATTGAGTTCTGGTTACAGATTGAAAATTCACTTACTGAAGCTAATAGATACTAGTAGTATCCTGTACATACGCTTGAGCAAGTCTAGTAAGTTATTGTACTATTGTTTCATGCAAGATTTTGCCTTCAAGGAAAACTTGTATAGAATTTCTATGGGTCAATCTAAGTCCCATCATCTTCATGGTGATAGATCTAGTAGGAGATTCTTAAGGAGAGTAGAGCTCCAAATTTTCGCCCAATTACTTTTCAGTTGACATGGAAATAGGCTGGATCTGGCCCAAGCCTGACAGACACATACCCACTTACCCAGTCCTACTTTGTAAGTGGACCTAGATTCAACCCGTATATGTTGAGTCTTAGGTCTTGTTTGGTTGAATGTGAAAAATGCAAATTTCTTGAAAATGTATATTCCCAATTAGAAATTCCTAAACACCAAAAAAAAAAAAAAAAAAATTCCTAGGAAATGCTAAATTGTGTTTGGTTAATCATGAGAAGTGGAAATTTCCAAGGGAAATTCCACTTACCTAAGTCTCCCTAGGTAATTAAATACCTCCATTTTGTGGGAAGTGAAAATTCATGGGAATTTCTACTTCCCATGATTTTGTCAACCTAACAATTCCAAAGAATTTCAATTCCTAGTAATTTCAACTTTCCATGTTTTTATTTGTCAACCAAACGAGGCCTTAGAAATTCAGACCCACACCCAAGTTATTGTGTCTATCAGGTTTAGGGTTCTAAATGGGTCTAGATCTTTTATTTCTGGGAATACATTTAATCGCTCAAATAGGGGGTTCAAAAACTGATCTTTATCAAATTGAATTAACCAATCCGGTCTCCGAGTCGAGAAATTAATATTTTCAGTTTTTGGTAATATTTGAAATCCTTTAAATACCAATATTAGACCGGGGTGGCTTTTTTTTTTTTTCCCTTAAAAGTACACCTAAAATCTTTAAAAGTGATTAAGATTATCCTTAATAAGTTTGGAAAACGTTAATCATGTGAGTTTTTTAGATTGTACTTGGAAAAATGCCATATAAAAAAATGTTTTCGTTTAAAATATTTGAGTTTCATTTTTTTTTTTTTTTTTTTTGAAAACAAAAATATTCGAGTTTCATAATAAAATAGAAAAAATGTTTTTTGTTTAAAATATTCGAGTTTCATAATTGTCCTTAAATTATTTTTTTTGTGAATAGTAACATGAACCTTTTTTTTCCTGAGTAAAGATGCTCTTAAAATGAAATCTATATCTATATTAATATTTTAAAATAGGAACTTTTGCATGTCATACAAAGTGCCACGTGGCATTTCTCGAATATCAATTTGTAGTTAAATCTTTTTATATTTTTTTATTACTTTAAATGAAACCTTTTCATTCATGCCTTTTCATCATATAGTTTTTGATTTCCTTAGATAAATATTCTCTTTCAAAGCTTATTATGAATCTTGATGGCCTCCAATAATAGTTACTAAAAACTTCAATTTCTAAATCATACTCATTATAAATTAGAAATTCTCTTCCTTTTCCCCATTTTATTTTCATGTCTAAAATTTATTTTCCTTCCTATTTTTCTATTTTGAATTATTACACCGCAATTGAGTTGATTTCATTCCGTCATACGAAGTATTTCTCTAATTTGATTTATACAACCTTACACCGCAATTGAGTCCGGCCATTTCATAATTTTGTAAGATAATTTGGCCAAATTTAGTATTGATCAGTTTCATACTTTCATCAAATTTGTCACAAAAAGGTTTGTTTTCTCTAAGTTTAACTCCCTCTTTTTTTTCAATTTGCAATTTTACAATTTTGATCTCAATTATAAATATTGTGATAAATTAAACAATATGTATGGATATTCAAAATTTATGACCAAATGATGTTATAGTTTTATAAAAACTGAATATTTATTGGGTCTTTAAAATCAGTGAATATTATTTTTGCAAAATCAATCATGTGCATTGTTTTTTTTTTGGAAAATTCCTATATACTAATTCGTATATAGCCAGACTCCTAAATACTACTTCATATATAGAAGTTGGTCAAATCTATTCATCCTTCTTTTGTAATTTGAAATTTTAAAATTTGTGGGTTTTGAAGTTTCTTGTACTCGTATTTATTTTATTGGTTGTTGGATTTTTTGTGTTTTTGGAGTTCAAATTTGCTAACTATTGAATTTTAATTTTATGTTTCAAATTTCTTTTCTATTCATAATTCTACATTATTCGAGCTAATTAAAAAAATTAAATAAAATAAAATCTCCCAAACTTTTTCAATCTCCTAATAAATGACCAATTTTCATTTGTGTCTCTTCTTGGTTTTCCTTTATGTCCCAAACGTTTTGATTTTTAGTGTTTTTAAATACTTATTATTTTTGCTAAAATTTGAAATAAAATGGCAAAACAAAATTTTATTTATTGGCAGAGTTATTTTTTTGCTTGATGCAATTTATTACTTAATGTTACATATAATATGATGTATTTCTTAAATGTTAAGAATATATTGCATTACATTTATGTACGTAGTATTACATTTTAGTTTGCTAAAAAAAGTGCAGTTTATATTTACAAATGTTTTTTATTTTCTTTCAAAAAAGAAGTTTTTAATTAAAAAAAAAAAAGTCAAAATACATGTTTAGATAAAAAGATTCTTCCGTATATCGTACGGGGTCAATACTAGTTACTAATAAATGAAATACCTCGCCGGTAATCATGCGGAAATTTAGGCAGACCCATATCAACAGTGGATGTGGTAAAAATGGTAAAATTACATCTGGACCCTCATTTAGAAAAGAGTATACGTGTTAGCATCTGGTAACTGAATTACTGAAACAAGAATATTGGGATTCGGAAGTCGGGACCCTGCACAGTAGACTGTGCCGCACTCGTCAAATGGAGCGGGTCAATAATATCGAGTTAATTTAAATAAAAAAAATAAAATAAAAAAAGAAGAAGGGGACAAAAAAGCAGCATAACATGTGACGTTTCAGATGGAAAAGTAAATTACAGACACAGTAAAATAAAGTAAACCCAGAATCTATTTCTATAGAGTGCCAACCAGCTTCCATACATTTTTCTCAGTTATTTGAATTATAGAGTTTAATGAGAGTAAGAGATAGTTTAAATAGTTAGCATTTTTTTTTTTTTTTCGATTTTAAGAGATTTTGGTGTCGATTTTCATTACCTGTCCTTATGGCTCTCTAAACACTAAAAAATTAAAATTATAAAGATTTAGATATTTGTTAAAAATATACTCATAGTCATATTGATATATTCTTTTTAAAACGATAAGGAGAACGACTCTGACCGTACTTTAATCCTTATTGTTTTTTTTAACCATTATTTACGGGTTAGACACTTAAAGTGTGAGGGAAAACCGGGAAAGGGTAAAGGATCCCCACCCTTTAAGTGTCTCTAGTGATAGTTGAACCCCTAACTTCAAGGTTGGAAGGTGTAATCTTTTCTACTAAACCAACCTTAGTTTGGTATATAGTCATATTGATATACTTAGCTCACATAGTTTCATGTACGAGTAAATGATATAACTGGTACCTGTTGTATGCAATTATATACGTGCAATAGCATATTAACACAACTTGATACAATCCGAACTGAAAAGTAACCAGATTCAAAGACAACTTGATACCACCTAAAGTCCTAAACCTAAAAGTTAGCCGAAAGGGTAAACGACCTAATATAACTTAGACCGAACTTGATTCAATTCAAACCTAAACTACATGATCTGAATGCTAGATTTACCCAACTTGACCCAATTTAAGTTCGACCTTACTTAAACTTGACTTTAAAATTCGAATTAACACCTCTATTTGCACCTATAGAATTGGAATTATTTATATTTTAAGATATCCGTATCTCAAATAATGTGAATAGTCAAACGTAACAAATAAACAGTGATAAGGAGAACATTTTTTTTTTTTGGTGTTTCATCCGGCTCACACTTTGGGCTAATCCGAATTCGGAAATCAGATATAGGTGGTTAGATTCCAATCCCCTCTCAATTGTTGTTGCGGGGGATCGAACGCACGGTCCTTCTTATCAAGTGCAGTTCCAATCACCAATAATCCACTACACCAACATCTAATTGGCAGATAAAGAGAACATTAAATAATTTGAACGTGTTGATTCAAATTTTAACACTCCTTACAAAGAACAAGAGATCAAAATATTTAATTCCTATATTTTTTTAAAAAAAATTCCTAAATAATATTATTCCTCAATAAATTTGATTATGAGTATAAGATTCATTAGAATCATTCCTATCTGATTAAAAGTACGAGTATAAAGAAGGTTAGTGGGAGAGAGAAATATGGAGTAAAAGGTATTGGTTCCAAATTAAGAAGTCATGTTGTAATTATTATTCCGTATGAAAGTGATGTAAAAAAAAAGTGTTGTAATTATTACGAAACAGATAAAGTAATACAGTGTATTAGGTACTTGATATTATAATAGGAAACCAAAAGATTGGTATGAACCAGAACCACTCATCTATGATCCACTTTAATACCATTAAATACACAATTAACCAAGGTAGACTAATCAACCCCCACTCTCTTTTATCTCTTGACACAGTATAACTTTAGGGTTATATGCAGAGTATAACATGACTTTAGGGTTATTATATAGACACATACATTCACTCATTCCCTACATATATATATATAGACATCACCATAACCTCACTCTCAGTCTCACTCATTCTGTAATATCTTTTTCTTGGTATTTTAGGGTTTCATTTCTTCCTACAAATAAACAAAAAACTTTTATTGTAAGATGATACAAAGCAAATCTTATTATGATAATAATCTCGCGTTCGTGTTCGTGTTGAAGTTAAGGCGGAGTTGGGTAAAAGTAGAGCTCCTTGAAGTCCAAAAGAAGGCCTAACTAGGGCATAATACTGCTGTTGATATATGGTTATCCATAGTCCTATCCATTTCTTTTAATTGATGATAGGCCTTTGGTTTTGCATATCTCAGGAGCTGTCATTTGCC